CTTATGGGAGATTTAATTTGGAGTATTTCAGGTTAAATTATCTTTCTTTTTGGAAAGTATACATCTATTGATGGGGCCTAAAATTAAAGCTAGTTCTCAACCTACATCCATTCGTTTAGTGAAAGTTTGAAGTTACAATGTACTGAAAAAAGTGATTGATGACTGTTTTTCACACTTAAAACTGTCGCAGTGTCAGGTGATCAAAATTCAGATGCTTGTATTTACGACAGTTTCAGTGTTCTTGGCTTATGTGATCACCTTTTATGACAGTGGTTCTCAACCTGTGGGTCGGGACCCCATTTGGGGTCGAACGACCACTTCATGGGGGTCGCCAAAAAAGGCTGTCCGCCATTTTTCCCCCTTTTCTTTGGCCACACCCCTGGCACCCGGTGATGTATAAGTGGTTGGGGGTCACCACAACATGGGGAACTGTATTATGGAGTCGCGGCATTAGAAAGGTTGAGAACCACTGTTTTAGGACTTTCTGAAAAGCAAAGTCAACAGAGAAGTCAGATTCACTGCAGTGATTTACTTAACAACAGTGGCAAGAAAGATCATGCGGCAAAATTCATTTAACAATTGTCTTCTTAGCAACAGAAATGTTGGGCTCAATTATGGTCGTAAGTCAAAGAGTACCTGTACATTTCTCTTTTTAACTGGAGCTGACATTACTGTTGGGTATTCAGCTTATGATCGATCAACTAAAATCTTAAGATTGCAAGGAACTTAGAATTTTAGTTGGTCATAAGCTGTACATGCATTGGTAATGTCAGCTAGAAATATATATGCAATAGCAATAGCATTTAGACTTAAATAGCACTCCATAGTGCTTTAGAGCACTCTCTGAGCAATTTACAGAGTCAGCTTATTGCCCCCAACTATCAGGGTCCTCATTTTACTGATCTCGGAAGGATGAAGTCTGAGTCAACCTTGAACCCATTAGGATCAAACTTCCAGCTGCTGCATTCTAACCACTGTGCCACCAATTTTAGGCCCCATCAATAGATGTATAGTTTCCAAAATAAGGAAAATAATAGTTCTACCATAGTCTGTTTTGATCAGACCTCACTTTGATTAGACTATTGTAGTTCTAGTTACTATGCATGGATTGGGTCATTGCATGTTTAAGTTAAATTCAGGTGATCAGGGGGCTGGAAAGTTTGTCAGGGGGGCGGGGAGGTGGAGATTGAAGAAATGGGATGTTTAACTTTGGGTGGAAACAGTAGAGGTAGATATAAGACCTATTTTGTGGAATATTACTTAGAAAAATGTCAAAACCTGTTTGGTATCATCAAAGAAGACATGGAAGAATGATCGCAAGTTAGAGGAAGGCCAATTCCAATTACTGTGTCGAAAAGCACTTCCTAACAACAAGAGTAATTTGATAGTGAAACCAGTGATTAACTTCCCCCAACTTTCCCCTTCTCTGGATATATCTGCAGGGTGTGGTCAAAATGGGCTAAATGGCAGCAGGAGTGTTGCAATGCAAGCCTACCTCCTTCGTATATGTATGCACTGATGCACATACAAAAAGGCCAGGCTGGCATTATAAAGCTGTATTCATCATTTTGCTGGTTTTGACTCCCTTCTGTTCCCAGAGGCTGCTGACATTTTCAGACCGAAGCTGGGCAGCCACCTGATGCTTAGAGTCCTGCACTAAACAGTGGGTTTAATTGTCCTACCACACAATTATATGATTCTACTACACCTTTGTCATAATAGCTGACTATTATATTACTTGGCTTTCATAAAGGTGTCCCATCCATAGAATTGGCCTGATCCATATCTGCTTAAGCTTCATACTTTTCACTGGGACCAGTAATTAATGATTTTTAAGCCCTTCAGATAAGATAACCTTTATTGTCATTTTTATACTGTGGGCACAATGGCACACATAAAAAATGAAATTTAGTTGCCCGCTCTCACAGTGAAACACATACATGACACACACATAAACATACTATGAACAACATATGTATAGACCCACATTTCTACATATACATAGCAAATAAATATTAAATATTGTCCATCTTGAATATACAACGGAAGGAGGAAGCTTGAGAGTTCGCAAGGTTAATGCTGTATGGAATGAAACTCTGGCTGAATCTGGATGTTCTGCTTCGGATACCACGAAGCCTCCTCCCAGAAGGTAACAAGGAAAACAGGTCGTGAAGAGGGTAATATCTCTGCCTTTAGTAGCAGCTTTTTATTGTTTAATATATTTTTATGACCATATTATTTTACTTACTTTATGTAGATAAGTAATTCCTAAACACCCAAACTAAAATGAACTAAGCTGATGAGACTACAGAAACTGACATTTAAAATAGTTTGTTTCTAGCTCTTTAATGCTTCTGTACAGCATTCTCTCTAAAACAAACAGGAACTTACCTTTCCCCAGTGACATCATCTGTGGCATAACACCTGGTGAAGTCTCCTTTGAGGCATGACAATCTGCCAATTTAAAGTGTGTGTTTGCATAAACTGAGATTTGTTTCCATGTTTAATGAGAGAGCTTAAAACCTATTTCACTACAGTTTAACAAACAAACTCAGTGTACGGAAAGCTGTACTGGAAAATCAGATTCTTAAGAGACTTTTCCAGAAATGAGGCTAATGAAAATCAATTTTTTGGACTTGGGAAAAGGTGGAAAGCACAAGTTCTGTGTGTCAGTTAGGCCAGACAAGAATCTGAATTAGAAGAGGAAAGAATCACATAGTTGTCTGGGTATCAGCCCTTGGAAGTTCCTTAAATAAGAGTTCACTGGAATTGGGTGGCCAATAATTTAGATAAATTAATAAAATAAAAAAGTCCTTTCCTGGGATCCTACCAGTTAGTATAGAGGGCTCAGATTGAAAACAACTTTGTATGTGGTAGTTCTTTTCCATGGAGACAAACTTGGTCAGGAAGGCTTCAGTATCCTGGTATTTTCTTCATAAAACGTTGAGCTATTTAGTTCAATATTGTTGATATTGACTGGCAGAAGTCTTTCTAGAGCCCAACCTGAATATATCAAGGGCAGAATTTGTTGTCTGCTTCCATTCTGATTGGGACTACAGGTTGCTTATAGCTGGTTGCAGTTTTCTATGGCTGAAAAGTGTTCCTTATTTCAGGTTTTGCTATAAAGTGCCTGAAATTCTTAAACATTGATACAGTACTATTTACATGATCAGGATATTTGACTGAGTACTAATTATTAGTAATGGTGTGAAGGCTTAAATAATCTGTTTGAATAATGTTTTAAATTATTTATTTCATATTCCCAAACTTCCACAAAATTTAGCAATGGAAGTATTTTTCAGTCCAACTCATTTACCTATTGTAAGATTGGTGATATAATTTATACTTTTGTGAATAAAGACAGATTGTTTGGAATATTTTTTTTACAGATTGGAGCATTTGTTTTATACTGGTTATTACCACAGTTCACCTCACATGATATGCTTAGTAATCACTCTACTGTATGAGGAAGACAGGCCTGCTGTGCCTGTATATAAATAAATACCAAAACTTAGTTCATCTGTTTATTTTCAGGATATAAAGCACAAAGACTTAAATGGAATTCAAGAATAAAAAGTACTATTTTCTGTTATTACAAGTAACTGAGGAAGAGTTACTGAGAGGCAGAATCATGGGTCAAGGAGCTGTAATCTGTCATGGATTAGGATTAGGACATGATCCAATATGTATAAAATTAAACTTGGACTTTTAAGACCATTTTATTCCTAGTTTTTAAGGAATATCATTATTCAGACTGTAGGTAATCATAGTTTCTGTACCAGCATATTGAGAAAAATGATTTAATTTTCATTGATGAGGATCTGTTTCATTAAATCCTTGTTTCCAACTAAAGCAAATAATAGAACCTCCATTTAGTAAAGGAACTAGGTTGCTCCTTATTCCCTATCACATTATCCTCTATATCTCTGTGCATGTTCTTTCAGTCTTTCTGAAAACAGGATAATAGGCAGAGGTAATAGGCAAATACACAAACCTAAAGTAGGAATATACATTTTTTTCAAATTCATGTGATTTTGAAAGAATTTTGAGCTTGAAATGGGGTGTTTTGTATTCAGAATAGTTAAAAGAGCTTGTAAACCTCTGCTGTTCTATCTTTTGTTGACTTTTAGTTGAAGAACATCTACAATAGTATTAGTATTTATAAAGATTCTTTTGCAGAGTCCTTAAAACATCAGTCCTCCTATATTTCCCCTTTGGAGCAGATTGGATTTTGCAGGCAGCTGCATGCAAATATTTTTGCTTATTCTTAAGTATTGTACCATGCTAGGTCTTGAGGGTGAAAGAAGAGCAGCTCTAAGAATTTTGGCTTCAGATCTAGGATATTTATTCCAAATTTGTGATAGAAACAACATGGCTTTATTGGCACTTTGCATTATTTTTCAGCCAACAGTTAATTAGAAAATTGTCTCTTAATTTGTGGGAAAGCAGTCTGAGCTATGGTCACTTCCCATCCTTGGTGATTAATTGCTACTTCCCAGGAAGTGGAATTTCAATCAAAGAAACAGTGTATGCGGGTGTAGATTTTCTAGTCCAATAACCATTTTAAAACCTTGTATCCAGTTACAGGTTCCTCAGACAATGTTTATTAAATCTCTAACGCCAAGCCATATGCATTATCATTATGAAGGATTTATTATGGTGGTACTGAGGCCACCCAATCTGCTTCATATTGTGTAGGAATTAAAATGGAGAATTTTCCATGAATTTGAAAAACTATTATCATTAGCAATAACTATGTTTATATAGCAGCAACTGAAAATATTAAAAGGCTATAACTTTATGACAGAACTATATATATACATAAATATATATATTAGCATGTTCAGTCTTTAGTTAGGCTAGCAAACATCTCAGGTTTGGATAATGTTATCAGTCAATGTGGGCAACCAACCATTATTGTAATTTAGTGTAAGGCAGTTACAGAAAAAGCCGGAACACCATATACAGATTTAACATAGCAATTTTCTTTTCTATTTCAGTGATTGTGCCAGCAACTGTTCCCACAGGTTGTGTGCCTGAGACCAATAAGACTAATATACCCCAGCCAGCACCACGACTCTCTATTTCGTCTCCTCGGACAACTGTGATTGTCAGTATGGAAACCCCCTCACAGGGTTTGCAGACAGTCATGAAGTGGAAAACAGTGGTAGCCATTTTCTTTGTGGTAGTGGCTTATCTGGTCACAGGGGGTCTTGTGTTTCGTACTTTGGAACAGCCAGAAGAAAGCAGTCAGAAAACCAGAATTGCCAATGATAAAGCAGAATTCCTCCAAGAGAACAACTGTGTATCCCAGCAGGAGTTGGAGGCATTGATTAAGGTGAGAACACCACAACGGATACCACATATTGGGAAATTTGCTTTTAATAAATCTAAATATGATATAATAAAAAATTATTTCCTGTGCTGCATGTTTTTCTGCCTCTACTGTTTTGTTGTTATTAGGAGCTCAGAAATATCTGCTTTTGATTTTAAGAGAAGTGCTGATATCTCCAATAAATTTTGTTTAACTATTTGAGATTGAAGATTTCTTTTGAACCTTGTGCAACATGTTAGGAGCTGCATGTGGGCCCTGCAGAGAGAGAGAGAGAGAGAGAGAGAGAGAGAGAGAGAGAGAGAGGGAGAGAGGAGAGAGGGAGAGAGGGAAAGGGAGGGAGGGAGAGAGGGAGAGAAGGAGAGAGGGGGAGGGAGGGAGGGAAGGAGAGAGAGAGAGTCTTTTTAGTAGAGAGGAAAAGGCAATCAGAAAATTACTTTGGATGCTAAATCCACATGGTTTCTTTTTCACTTTCTGCTTCTCAACACTAATAGTTTGTGCCTCATGCTCACATTCTAATTGCAGTGGATATTGTATTGTTCTGTTTACCACTTAACTTTGTGAAAGTAGCAATTATGGCTTGGAAAATTATCTGCATCAGGATGTCTTGAGAGGCAGAAAAGTATGCAGGATAGATCATTCCGTCTCCATCAATAGGCAGAATCCTATGTCTCCTGCAGTGATAGATAGAGCAAGTTTTTGGAGTGAGCAACTATACTGTATATCTGATGAGTTAAAAAGCAATAGCCAGAATGATACAGCTGAGAAAAAGAATACTGGAAATTTCATAAGGCTGACTACAGGGTGAACAGAATTATTGAATTGAAAGGATTATTTAGACCACTGAATCCAATTCTCAGATCAATGAAGGAAGCTAAGTTCATGTATTCTTACAGATGGCTTTCTAGCTTTGTCTTGAGGATATACATCAAGGGAGACTCCACCTGATTGCTCTGTTGAACTTCTTTATTAGGAAAATTATAAAATCTAAAAACCTTTGCTATTCTAGCTCTATGCAAAAAAAAAAAAAATAGCAATCTCTGGTCAAAATGTTTTTCAGCAAGGCACCAATATGAAACATACCTTCAACTAGCTTAATGTTTCTAGCAACACATGATTCCTTAATTTGCAGCCATCTTTTTAGGTGGCTCTTATATAAGGATTAAAAGTCTATAGAGATTCAACTGACAGAAAACTTCCAGTTTAATCTCCAGATCTGAATTCAGCACATGAGAAGTAATTTAAGACAATTATGATATAATAGCAACATTCAGCTCATATAAAATATATTTTATCATCTTGCTATGAGGACTTTAATATCTGAATTTTCTTTGTGACACCACGCAGGGGGCCAGAGATAATTATCTGACTTTCCTCCATGAGTTTGATAAAAAAAATTTATTTGGCACTTTTAGCTGGTACTTTCATTCCTAGTATGTTGCTTTTAAAAAAGCAAAAATTAATTATAGTTACAGCTCATTAGGCCGATACAAAAACATTTCAAATACATGCTGATCAAAACAAAGACATATTAATTAAAATGAGTGTTATATATAGAGGAAAGAAGTACAAAAACATATACCTTGTATATATTTCCTAAGCAATTATATAATTCTGGTTTAATATTGGAGTAATCAAATATCACTGGCCTTTTTAAAAGAGGAAACTAGAAGAAATTTTGCCATTCTTTCTGGGTTTCTTCTTCATTACTTTCCTCTTTCCATTTTCTCTGTTGGCTGGACATTGAGTTTAAGAAAATCTTTATAAGATGTTGAGAGTTTATGCCAAGGATAGGGTTTTTGAAACTGCCAGTTTGCACAATGGAAATCTAAAAAATACAGAACATCTGTACATTTGTACATTTTTGATAGTGTTGTGTCTTACCTTTCCTAAATGGTTTCCACAGGACCTCCATTTTTAAATATGCACACAGAAAGATTTTAAAAAAAATAGGATGGCAGTTACAACCATGATTAAAGTCCTACTTGTATGTACATCTGACATCAATTCATGTGCACAAGGGACAAGGATTTGACTTTCTCACAGCCACCCCAGGGACACATAGGTATACACAGGCACCACTGACATGTAAATGCACACAGATATATGACTAAAATCTCAAAAGATTGCTGAATAATAATTGTTGTGTCCTGAGCCTGCAAATGCAGGCTCGGGACGTTGCAAGGATCCCGGGATTTGCAGAAGCTGCCTGGGACCAGACTGAGTGGCGCCGGCCTTGCGCGCATGCGTAAGGCGCGAAAAATGTCTGACTATGTTGCTATTGTGTCTGGAGTTTTGGATGTATAAAAGAAGGCCTGTGTGCCGTTGCTTGTTGTTGGAGTTCTGGCTGAAAAGTGAAATAAAGAGTATTCAAGGAAAGATGTGTCTTCATCATTCGTCATTAATGCGAGGACTTAACACTGGCGACGAAGGTGGGATTCTTTACAAGCTTAACAGAAGAAGGCTGTAAAGGCTCACCTAAAGAAGTCCTGAAGAGGGAAGAAAGCGTTAAAGTCAGCGTTCCAGCCTGCCAGTACAGTGTTGCTGGAGGGTGAGTTCGGCTGAAAGACCCCTTCCCTAAGAGAAGTGAGTGATGAAGTGCAAGTCAGAATGGCGAAGATCGGCCGTTTATCCAAGTTTGATGTCTCACACCTGGAGAGATGGGAATCCTACGTTGTGAGGGTGGAGAATTATTTCAGGGTAAACCAGATCAGAGAAGATGGATTGAAGGCTGCAACCCTGTTATGTGTCTGTGGGCAGGAAGCCTTTGAGATTGCAGAAAATCTGGTGGCCCCTGCTTCCCTGGAGTCAGTAACGTATACTGACTTAAAGAAACTTCTGAAAGAGCATTTCCAGCCTAAGTTGTCCTTCATTGCTTGGAGGCACACTTTTGAACAAAGGGACCAGAGGGCAGGTGAATCTGCTAAGGACTTTATTGCGGCCTTGAGGCGAGCAGCCAGACCATGCGAGTTTAAAGACTTGGAAGAAAGGCTGCGTGACCGTTTTATATGCGGATTAAGGAACAGAGACAGCAGAAGATCTTTGCTAAAGAAGACGTCTCTTTCCAAGATGCTCTGCGAGAAGTTACAGCAGAGGAAGCAGCAGGCGGGGCAGTAAAGAATCTGCGGCCCACCAGAAGCTCTCCAGAGACAGTCACTGTCCACCAGGAGAACGTGCGAGAAGATTCAGAGGAAGATCCTGAAGAGGAAGTGGATAAGCTTCACCAGGCAGCTGGAAGGAGACAGAAGGAATGCACAGAAAAGGCCCCAACAGCTCTTCAATGCTTCGGGTGAGGAGGACGCCACAAACAAGCTGACTGCCAGTTCCGTTCTGCCATTTGCAGAGCATGCGACAAGCAAGGCCACATCGCATCCGTCTCTTTGGGTCGTCAGAAGGTACAACCTAGAGAAGAATTGCATCTGAAAGGTACCAGGGTCCCCAGCCAAAATAGGGTGGGTTTCTGCACAACACGCAGAAATATTTTAAGGATAGGCACACATTCCTTAAGAAGAAACTGTCCCTTAAAGTAAGGTTACAAGGGGTTCCTTTATCCATGGAATTGGACACTTGGTCCGCTCTCTCCATTATTTCCCTCAACACATTCAGGAAAATTTGCAGCAGCAGTGGCCTTTGAGCTAAACTCAGGCCTTCCAATGTAATACTCACAGACTTTCAGAATTCTAAAGTGTGTGTTAAGGGGGAGGCCACCCTTAAGGTACAATACAAGGATTTTGAAGGTCCCTTAGATGTGTTGGTTGTTGGGGATGAATGCATGAGTCTTATTGGACTTGATTGGTTCGAGGCTCTGGGAATCCAGGTTACAGGGCTGCACAATTTGCAAACGTGGAGCCTGGCAGAAGTCTGCAAGGATTTTGCAGATGTGTTTAGCTCTGAACTTGGAACCTACAAGGGGCCTCCAGTTTCATTTTGATTAGATCCTTCCATAACGCCCATCAGGGTTAAGCCCAGGAGGGTACCTTTTGCTCTCAAGAGCAAGATCGATGTTGAACTGGACAAATTGCTCCAGCAGGGCATCTTAGAACCTGTAGATTCTAGTCCATGGGAAACCCCCATAGTAACACCTCTAAAGGCTAATGGGGACATACGTATATATGCAGACTACAAGTGCACACTAAACAAGGCACTGTAGCAGCACGCTTATCCATACCTGTAGTAAGCCATATCCTGGCTTCCTTCGGGGGGGGGGGTGCATTTTTGCAAAGCTTGACCTGGCACAGGCCTATCAACAGTTGCCTGTTGATGAGGCAGCTGCTGAGGCTCAGACTATTGTAACCCATAGAGGAGCTTTTAAAGTAAAGAGACTGCAATTTGGGGTGAATGTAGCCCCTGGCATATTCCAAAGTGTTATGGAGAACACACTGTGGGGTATTCCTGAGTCTGCCCATATTTTGATGGTGTCCTCATTGCTGGGGACTCATCTCAAAACTTGGCAGAGAGATTAAGGGCTGTCTTGCTTCATTTTAGAAGAGCAGGCCTTAAGCTAAAGAAGGACAAGTATAAGATTGGAGTCAATTCTACTGACTTTTTGGGATTCAGGATAGATGCTCAAGGCATTCACCCTTCTGAAGCTAAATTGAAAGCTATTCAGCAGGCCTCAAGCCCTAAGTCTAAGGGCGAACTACAAGCTTTTTGGGGGCTTTTAAACTTTTACCATGCTTTTCTGCCACATAAAGCTGCAATAGCTGAACCCTTGCACAGGCTCTTAGACAAACTGGCCTGTTGGCAGTGGACTAAAGTGCATGAAAAAAGTTTCAATGAGGTTAAAGCCTTGCTTACTTCCAATGCAGTGCTAGCTCACTTCAATGAGCAACTACCTGTTTGCATTGCCTGTGATGCATCTCCATATGGGGTGGGAGCTGTACTTAGCCACCTGAAGGCTGATGGGATACAGGTCCCTGTGGCCAATTATTCCAGGCCACTGTCTTCTGCAGAGTGTAATTACGCTCAAATTGACAGGGAAGCTTTGGCTATTGTGGCTGGCATTA